TCTATCTTTAGTACTGACTGCCTCACCCATTCCTATGACCACAAGTAAATTACCTAATCTTTGAGCATTTTATTATCTAACTTCATAGAATGTATGCAGAAATGCTTTCTGTCTAGTGGCCTCAGAGATTTATGTAAAAGATTTGTTGAATATAACATTGTTCCTTGATTTATATCTTTTAGCAGGATAATACAATTAAATCACAATAAAATAGTAGAAGAAGCACCTAGGCAGACAAATAAGACATTGTAAGAATGGCATAGCATTGTGATTAAGAGCAGTATAGCCTTTGAAGCCAGGTATACCTGGGTTCATTACCAGTTTTGCCACATATTACCTTTTTTGGGCAGATAATGTTACCTGCCTGAGCCTCAGTATTCTCATCTGTAAAATGGGTATCTTACTATAACCATAGGTTGTTACAAAGATTCAGTGCACGAGATGTTTTAAGACAGTGCTTGGCACCTAGTACATGTGAAACAAAAGATAGCAATTATTATTTTATACCGCACTGACTCACAGTTCAACTTTAAACAAAGTGCTAAATCTTCCTGTGTCTGATTTTGCAACTTTAAAAAAAGAGATATCATCATTCATCTTCAGATGAAAGATTGCAAGATAGAATTTAAATATGCTAGTATCATACTTCGGATTCCCCTAAGATTAGTCCGATCATCTTAGAATTGTTACTCTAAAAAATCTCAGAAATTGCCCAACAATGCGAGCCATGTATGTACCTGGAAGAAGAAGGTTGGGCTTGCAGGTTCTGGCATGACTTGGTGTCTCTGCAGCCCATTTTTCTTTCTCAACCTCTTAAAACCTGCCCATTCTCTAATCCAGTCATTTCAAACCTATTAAATCATACTTGAATGTGAGGGTACGCTTCACAATTCCCAGCCCCTGTTTCTCAAAAGAGCAGATCCAAAGGAGTGTGTTTAAAGAATGTTTAGGGCAGTTCCTCTAAACTCCAGCCCCAACAGAGTCATGAAACTGTTCAGAACACCCGTTTTACCACTTGCCATCTCAGAAGACCTGCTTCACAACTGTTCAACCCATCCCACTCTCAAGAACTAAAGTCACCAGGCATGCTTATAAATCTCAGTGCTAATACTGAATCACATGAGGGTGCTATTTTTCTTAAGGTTTCTAGTTATTCCCTCTTTATGTTGAAGTAACGACATATTTTTAAAGGAAAGCAAACAACAATGGTAATAACAGGCAGTTACAGTTACTACAGATCAATGGAATAGTTCCATAAAATGCTACACTAAGATGAACTTGATTTTCACAATATAGTAAATGTAATGATTTTTAGAAAGCAGAGGTGATGTAATTGAAATATTATACTCTCAGTCACTGATTACCTTTGAGATAGTGTGGAAAAGTTAGATCGTTACTTATCTTGTATAAATACAAAGACCCAGTTTTAAAGAAATTAAATAAGGCCAGCCAGTGAATTTTTTTCGATGTTTTTAAAACCTATAAATACAAACAAAGCTATACTTTATCCTTCCTCCCTCAGCAGAAATACGTGTGATTTCATATTAATCTTTATATTGTCTGATTTTTGCCCATACACTCACACTTTCTCCATGTGTGTATATGTGTGTGCTTGTTTTCTATTTCTCTGTTAGAGTGCAAATTTTCCAAAAATTCTACTTTTAGCTACCCACAATGGGTAAAAGGGAGAAGAATATAGACTTAAAGCCTAAAAGACCAGGGTCAGATCTAAATCCAACAGTTACTAAAGGCCTGGACTATCTAAGCCATAGTTACTTTATCCTGTAAAAGGAATAAAAACAACAACCACCTCTCAAAGTATTACCAAATTCAGTGAAATAGCATTTTACAAAATACACAATATATAATACGTACATAACAGATAGCTTTCCTCCACACAGGACTTGGTGCACAATGAGAACTCACTAAAAGTTGTTATATGGATCGGGGCTGATCTTACTTTAAGAAATGTGAGAGCCAGGCTCGGTGGCTCAGCCTGTAATCCTGTGCTTTGGGAGGCCGAGATGAGTGGATTGCCTGAGCCCGCGGGTTCGAGACCCCCCTGGGCAACTTGGCGAGACCTCATCTCTATCATAAATCAAAAATTAGCCGGGCGTGGTAGCACGCGCCTGTAATTCCGGCTACTTGGAAGGCTGAAGCGGAAGGGTCGCCTGGAGCCCAGCAGGTGGAGGCTGCGTGGCCGGGAGCGGCCACTGCACTCCAGTCTGGGCGACAGAGTGAGACTCCAACTCAAAAAAAAAAAAAAAAGTGTGGGCATGTGTTAAACACTTGTTGCACTATCATATCGCAACTCTGAGCCTAAACTTCAGTAAAGTGTCCTGTCAGTATCACTATTGACTAATGCCAAGGGGTAGCATTGCTAGATTAGTTATCACCAAGGTTTTTTTGTAAACATATGAATTTTTAAGATCCAAAATAAGATCATTCTTCCTACTTAACACAAACTGTCCCAAAGTGTCTGTAGCTTCCCTTCAGTTTTCCATACCTTCCGAAATTATCCTCTTCTCCTTAACCATCACTATATTGCATAAATGAGTACTCATCTTCCTTGAAGGGAAAGGTGACTAGAGAGAGAGCACCTCCCATTAGGATTTAATTATACCAATTTAAACATAACAAAGGGCTACCTCTTTTAACAACTAACTTATTTCATTTATGCTTTTATTTCTTTCAGCCTTAGAAGTTCCTTTCATTTTTGTCTTCACGCTGCCCATGCTTCTCAAACTTTAGAGCAAATAAAACTTACATTGTACACATCTTAAAAATATGATTCCTACACTCCATCTGAATTTCAATTGAATTCAACTGAATTCTAATGAATTCATTAGCATTTCCGGGATGAGAGCTGGACTTCTCTATTTTTTATAAGCACTTATTGACTCTAAAGCAGGCATCTTTGGGCCACACTATGAGAGATAGTCCTTACTCAAGAAAAAAATTAAAGTTTGTTTTGTTTCATTTGGATATTGCTCATTTCACCTTAATCTATCGAAATGTGTGCAGCTGTTAATGCCTATAATTTCAGTCTTCTTATCTTTCATTCTTGTCAGTAGTTGCTGACAAATATATTTAACAAATATTCCAAAACTTCTTTCCTATAAACTTATTTCGGATCAAGTTTTCTTTAATCCTCTGCTGTGTGTATATATGTGTTCATAAAATGTATGTGTTGATATCATCATGCTTAAGGAGTAGTATAAAATAAAAATTTGGAAAAAATGGCAGCATAAGAACAATAACGTTTCCCTTGTCCAATTTTTGTTTTACCTTCAAATTCTAAAAAAAAGAAAAAAGAAGTGATTCCCGTGCAGGTAAAGTGGGAGAGGAGGCTCAGAAATTTGGTAGAGGAAGAAGCATGCTATTTAACGAAACTCCTCACCAGTTCCTTATATGTTTTCCCAGTTACAAACCAATATGCTTGGAAGAAATTATCTATTCATGCTCCAGTATTTCAGTTATACCTCATTCTTGAGAGGATTCTTGTTGGCATACTTAAACTAGCAAATATTTATAATAAATTTAATATTTTTTCCACTCTAACCCATTTTCTTAACATTTCATCTCATCTAGACCCACTTAAACATAGATATGCTTAATTCTTCATACAATCTTCAGATCAAGAGATGTTTTCATTTATTCATTCTTTTCCTGTTTCCGTTTTTTTTTCCTTGAAATTTAATTCACATTTACTCTGAAGTAGGACTTTTAAAATAGGTCCATCTTTTGCTTCAAATTGGAGGCTACACTCAGAAAAATTCACTCTAATATTCTCATATTATAGCTTTTCTACACATTTATAATCAAATTCTGACTTTCTCAGATATAGCGTAGACAAGTGTTGGAATCTATGTAGTATGTTGTTTTGTGGAAGCTTTCTTGAAGCACCATTTTCTACAGTAATATTCTTAAAGATAACAAGTGAAAAAGAGTATGATACAAAACCATCATGGATTATATTTAAAAAGAAAAAATATTTGCAAAAGTCAGTAGGCCTTGAGAAGTCTGATTCAGTTTGTAATATCTATAGCTCTTAATTGCTTCATTGAGAAGTTTAAACTTCTCATGCATATGTAGTACTTTCTTTCCATCAGTGACAGAGCCTGTTTTTTCCATATTACACCAAGACCACAGATTCCATTGGAAGTTTAATATCGTGCAAACTGTTTTCTTCTCAAAAGAGAAATTAATCAAAAATGGTATGGCAATATATCAATCAGAGAAAATAAATTTTAATCTGAAAATAAAATTACTTTTAGTCCAAACTGGCTCACTGAAAGCCTTGATTATTTTCTAACTTTGAAAGAAAAAAAAACTCAAAATGATTATGAATTATCTATCAAAGAAGTTGACTGTGTCCGGGCACATTGTTGAATTTATTATTAAAATCCAACCATAATATTTTACTCATACTGTCTTTAATTTTTTCTCATACTTTCAAAACATCTACAGTTTAAAAAAATTTTATTTTAAAGATGTGGGGCACAATTCAGGATTAGGTATACAAATGTTCATTATGCAGTTACCCTTGTTGATGAGATGTGTTCCCCCATAACATCTACAATTTTTAAAATCTTAAACTACTTATACAAATAAACATAATTTTGGTCTGCATGATTTCAGATTTATTTTTTTATCATGTATACCTTCTGAAATAAAAGTATTTTTAGTAGATAAATAAAGCCTATTTTTTTCTAGAAACAAGCAAATGAACAAACTAAAAGACAGTTGTCAAATGCCATGTACCTTTTGTAGAACACTTCTAAAAGCATACAGAAAAATGCTGTGGGATAAAGTATAAGAGGACAGAAAACACTTATATAGAAAGGTTAGAAGCCTATATATCTTGACACGATTTTATATAAAATCTCAAAATATTTTTCTGTATTAAAATAATAATCAATTGAAGATCCACACTTTCCTTATTGTAGTTTATGCTGTTTTAAACTACAAGTTACCATAAGACAGAAAAGGGAACTCACCGATACATTGCTGACCAGCAAAGAAGAGATCTGTGAAGACTGAAGTCTACGATCAGGTGTGTGCATCCAGCTCTATCAGTGACTTTGAGGGCTGAATTGAGGTGAAGACAGAAGTCACCGATGATCTAAACAGAACCAGTCTAACGAGTCTTGGCTAGTGGTGGGGACTGTTTGTGTGACTCGTAGGACAAAGACAAATTTTACAGGGAGCAAGAGAAAAATATTGTATAAGTACTTTCTAGGAGTGGGAACTGAAAAGCTATTTTCTTAAGATAATTGTTTTAAAAGTATTAGCATAAGCCAGATTTTGTTTAAGTCAGATGTATAAATCTTAGAAGGAAATTTTAAACCATTTTTGCTCAGCCTCCTCATGTTTCCAGTGAAGAAACTGAAGTTTAATTAAGTTAAGGACTTGATCAAAAATCACATCGTTAACAGCCAAATCAGGACTAACACCCATGTTTTTTTAGCTAATCTGACATGCTTCTCATTCTATTCAGGATATAATGAAAGATTTTCTTAGTTATTAACTAAAGTTAGCTGTTGACAATGCATTCGAGATTAGAAAAGCATTAATATAATTCCTCCAGAAAAATCAAGGCGTTTACAAATATCACTCCCCAACTGAGACAGTTTTACTATTATTATTACTATACTGGAGACAGGCATATTAGCTGTCACTGAGTCACTTCTATTTTATTTCTGGGAAGGAAATAATATTTTTTTAAATGTGTGTTCACACATTATGCAAATATCTGTGTGTTTGTGTCAGGTATAATTTTTAAATTACCTTCTCTAATCCCTACAAACCAGATTAAGTGCTTCTCCTCTGTGCTTTCATGGTATCATAACACTTACTTCATTGTACTAGAATTTTGCTTAATTGTATCTCAACTCCACTAGGCTTTATATTCTTAACAGACAAGAACTCTATCCCTAGCATATATGGGCTTTCAAAAATAAGCAAGGAAAAGGGAAAAAAAGAGAAGTGTGTGTGTGTGTGTGTGTGTGTGTGTGTGTGTGCAGTCCTAAAAAAAAAATATAAAGGAAACAAATACTGTTTAATTCCACTACATATGCATTTAGCCAGTGGCTCACCTGAACAAATGCAGAAGCTGGGATTTGAGGTAAAGTATGGGGATTAGGCTGCCAAGACTTGGAATTACTTTCTAGCAGTAACCCAAGAATCTTCTATATTGGAGCATACTGTACAAGGAAGTAGAGACATATGCCCTTTTTATTCCGCTCAACAAATCACTTAACACTGAAGAATAGCATGCATATTTATTTACTTAGAGTTATTTAATATGTAGTACAGGGTTTCTGTATACTCATGTAAAAAGTACAATTTAGCCAGAAATAAAGAGGCAACAATACCATAGTAAAAGCTTCTGACTTATGAGTTTAAGTTGTTCTTCTGATACAGTCTTTAAAAAGTAAAAATATCTGTCACTGAAATGTTAATATGGCTTAATGATATTCTGTTCTGGTTTATACTCACATTCTATGAAAATATTGGTTATACTCTGACTTTCAAAGAAAAGCAAATTATTCCTCATTGTAACTTTGTACCAAGACTTGCCAGACTCACTTGAACAAAATCTCAGACTTTTTTTTCTTTCGTAAAATCCAGATTTAAAATCCAAATAAATTACTTACATGACCCAGCCCCATGGTCCTGTATATTTAACTTTACATATAACCTAAAAATATAGATGAAGAAAATAACAGGGCTCTCATGAAATTTTTTTTAATTTTATAGACTACAAGTTATAGAAAACCAGAGATGGAGATGGAGCATATATAAACAAAGATTAAATGGATGTTAACCTAAAGATATTGAAAGATAATCATAAGTATGTCTGTCCTTACATTAGCGGCTTTTGTACAGGCTACTCAATAGAAATTACAATGTATGTCATCAAATCTCATGATATACCTTATATTTGGTAGAAATTTAAAGAATAACAGAAAAACAAGAAGAAATGAAACATTAGACTTAAATTATTCACTGATAATTTTGTCTTTTAAGTTTATAAAACCAAAAGTTTGTCTTTCATTCAACTCTTTATATTTTCACTGTTTTTCAAAAATCATAAATGTTATTCTGCAATCCTTTTATTCTAAACTATGGTGTGCTGAAAATGTTTTCAAGAGTTATCCTTCTCTCTGTGAGCAGAGTCAGGAAAAAAATATTTGTGGGCTTGAGTCTCTTGGAAACCAATAGTAGATATGTTGCACTGCACAACAAACAAAATAACAACTTGACCACAGGCATTTTTATCAGCCAACAAATTACACCATAGTCCTTTCTAACCTTAGCCTTGTTTTATAGCAATGAAGCAACTATGACAAGCTACTGAAGTATAGTGCCAATGTGAATGGTCATGGATGATTTTTATTCATTTTTGAACATCCCCTAACTTGTACCAAGTTATTTTATGCCTGATAATACATGAATGCCTATGTATAATAATGAGATTAACTGATGGCCCTCAGAGTTATACTTAAGTTATGTCTCTGTATTGCTAAAACAATCCTTTTATTGGTCAGTTTATTGGGAGTTACATTACAGACTAGCCAATGTTAGTGAAAGAACTGTTTTCTCTATTCCTCTAAAAGAAGTTCAGCAACCGCTTTAAGTATTCATGATGCTGGGATAATTTTTGTGGACATTGATGTGAGGATCTGCTAGGTTTTACAATACATAATGGTACATACCATAAAAACCAGAGTTAAAGTTTTTAGAATTAACAAACAACAATAATGCTATGACAAACCTCATATTGTTCAATGTATAGGGATATACAATACAGACTGATTAATGTTGTAAACTAACAAATGAAGATAACATTTTTAGACCATTCCAATTCTCAAACAGTTTTTGCAATTAGTCTGTGAAAAACACTTCTAAGATTAATCAATTTCATGTTTTGGGATCAACTTTCAGTCTTCTGAACAGACTTTTATTGAGACATAAACAAAACTTATTTATCTATATTTCATTTATTTACAGACACTCCCCCAATATACAATACATTGATAAAATCAAGATCAAATTCAAGAAAAAAGTAGAAATGAAAACATGTTCTACATATTGTTTAAGACATTTGCTCTGATAGAGCTGTAAATTTGGTTTTGACTTACTGGCGGCAAGGATAACAAGGGAAACTAAGAAAGTTATACAATTCTTATTATCAAAAAGAAACATGCCAAGAGATGATTTTTCCTGCCACTAAGTTAGTGAAGAAATTTCTCATATGGGGATCACACTAAGCAGTGCATTAAATAAAATTAACAATATTTTTACCAAAAAAGAAGAGAAATTTCTGTAACTATGTCTTATGATAAATTCAAAGAATCTTGAGAATATTACTCTGAAGCTGAAGTTAGTGACAGATTTTTTTTTTTTTTTTTTTTTTTTTGAGTTGGAGTCTCACTCCGTCACCCAGACTGGAGTGCAGTAGCATGCTCCCGGCCACCGCCGCCTGGACCTGCTGGGCTCCGACGATCCTTCCGCCTCAGCCTTCCAAGTAGCTGGAAATACAGGCACGCGCTACCACGCCCGGCTGGTTTTTTATTTATTGTACAGACTAGATCTCGCCAAGTTGCCCGGGTGGGTCTGGAACCAACAGGCTCAGGCAATCCTCTCACCTCGGCCTCCCAAAGTGCTGGGATTACAGACTGAGCCACCGAGCCCGGCCTTAGTGACAGATTTTTTAAAAAGATATATTTATGTGGTCATTATGCATATTTTCACTGGTCTATCCTGATAAAAGGTAGAATTTAAAGTACCTAGACTAGGGTACAGTGTTCCTTAGATTAACTTTCTTAAGTATTACTTCTCTCAGAAGAACTTTGTAGAATAATTTCTAACAATGACTTGGAGAGTTTGTAATACACATTGCAAATTGAGGGAAGATCAATATTTTATCAAATTCAAGAACCGGATGAAATCTTACATTTAAATAAAATATCCCATGAAATTACAATTCTAAAAACTAAATGTGTCGTCCTCCTAAAAAAAAAAAAGAAAGAAAGAAAAAGAAAAGAAATTACAATTCTAGATTAGTGCATGTCAACTCCTTAGTAGATTTGGTGTGGTTTGTTTCATTGTTTGGCTACTTGTGTAATATAACTCAACAAGAGTATAAACACTGAAATAGTTGTCTGAGTTTTGATTTCAATCAAGTCTTTCTTTTTTTAATTTTTTCATAAAATCCAGCTCATGCAGGATCAATCAAGGCTTCCAACCATGATGTGTCAAATCTCATTCTCATATTCCTTAATGAAGACATAACACACTTTATAACTCTCTACTAGTTTTAGTTATTATTTGTAGCCTGGCTCGGTGGCTCAGCCTGTAATCCCGCACCTTTGGGAGGCTGAGGTGAGTGGATTGCCTGAACCTGCGGGTTCAAGACCCGCCTGGACAACTTGGCGAGACCTCCTCTGTACAATAAATCAAAAAATCAGCTGGGCGTGATAGCACACGCCTGTAATTCCGGCTACTCGGCTGGCTGAGGTGGAAGGATCGCCGGAGCCCAGCAGGTCGAGGCTGCAG